GCAATCCACCCACCTCGGCCTCCTAGACTGCTGGGATTACTGGCATGAGCCGCCATGCCCACCCTGGATTCTTTAATTATTTTTATAGAGATGGAGTCTTGATATGTTGCCCAAGCTGCTCTTGAACGCCTATGGTTCTATTTTCTAAATATTTCCGATTCAACCTACTTTTTCTCCATGCCTGTTCTCACTATTCAATCCATCATTGAAGAGTACAAGAATGTTACTTTGAAAACTACAATTTAAGTAGTGTTTGCTTCATGTTTTATAATGATTAGTCTTAGCTTACCTACTTTTTGTCAATAATACAACAGAAAATACACTGTGTTCTGGCTCAGCACCTGTAGCTCAAGCAGCTAAAGCGCCAGCCACATACACCAGAGCTTGCCGGTTCTAATCCAGCCCAGGCCTGCCAAACAACAACTACAACAACCAAAAAATAGCTGGGCATTGTGGCAGGCACCTGTAGTCCCGGGCTACTTGGGACTCGATTAAGCCCAGGAGCTAAAGGTTGCTGTGAGTTGTGATGTCACAGCACTGTACCCAGGCTGACAGCTTGAAGCTCTGTCTCAAAAAAAAAAAACAAACACACAAAAACAACATTGTGTCCTTCTTAGTATATCCTATCAGTAGAAACCTCATTTTGATTTGTATCTTTACTAGTGAAGTAAACATTAGCAACTTGGTTAATGGGAATTACCACTGAAAATTACCAATTTTCCTTTTGTAATTAATACATATATGTGAGGAGATTCCAGATGATGTATACATCTTGTTCAATTTTTTTTTTTTTTTTGTAGAGACAGAGTCTCATTCCATCGCCCTTGGTAGAGTGCTGTGGCGTCACACAGCTCACAGCAACTTCCAACTCCTGGGCTCAGGTGATTCTCCTGCCTCAGCCTCCTGAGTAGCTGGGACTACAAGGCACCCACCACAATGCTCAGCTACTTTTTTGTTGCAGTTTGGCCAGGGCCAGGTTTGAACCTGCCACCTTTGGTATATGGGGCCAGTGCCCCATCCGCTGAATTGTTCATCAAACTTTAAAGATTTAACATCTGGTCAGGCGGAGAGGCTGATGCCTGTAATTCTACCACTCTTGGCGGCCAAAGTGGGAGGATCTCTTGAGCTCAGGAGTTTAAGATCAGCCTGAAAAGAACGAAACCCCATCTCTACTAAAAACAAACAAACAAACAAAAATTAGTCAGGCATCATGGTGTTTGCCTATAGTACCAGGTACTTGGGAAGCTGAGGCAAGAGGATCCTTTGAATTCAGGAGTTTGAGGTTGCTATGAGCTAGGCTGATGCCAGGACACTTTAGCCTGGGCAATAGAGTGAGACTCTGTCTCAGAATAGCCAGGTGTGGTGGCTCATGCAGCTGGATTGCCTGAGTTCACAGGTTCAAGACTAGCCTGAGCCAGAGTGAGACCTTGTTTCTAAAAAAGGAAAAAGAAAAAATAGCTAGCCACTGTGGCAGGCACCTGTAGTCCCTGCTACTCTGGAGGCTGAAGCAAGAGAATTGGTTGAGCCCAAGAGTTTGAGGTTGCTATGAGCTGTGACATTATGGCACTCTACTGAGGGTGACAAAGTGAGACTCTGTCTCAACAAAATAAATACATAAATAAAATAATAAATAAACATCCATTGACTTTTTTTGCCTGAATCAATCATCACTATGATAACTGAAAAAATGTTTATTCCAGATGATGTAGACATCTTGTTCATTTTATTATTTTATTAAAACTTTTATTAAACTTTATTAAGCTTATTTTTATCGTCTCAAGGTCTGAACACTGGATCCAGTCCAGGTAAGTAGGGCTGTGTGGTACCTCTGGTGTCTGTCTCTGCCTATGGAAGCCCTTTGCAATCTCCAAAAGGCTCAGTCTGCAATCTTAGGAGAAAGGTAAATTTGCAGGAAAACCATAGGAGAGATTTGGGACTGAAGTTGATGATATAAAATACTCTGTACCATCTATGATCTTCTGCAGCTCATGGAAAATAAATAAAAGAAGCCACCATATTCTGGCTTCAGAGAAATAATAGTGTTGCTGGGGAAGTTGGTCTTATTGTATATCTTCTATACCTAGGGAAGAAAGATAGCAGAGAAAAAATTAACAAGTTAATTTCTATTTTCAGACAAGGGAATCAACCCTTTCTCATTTTTTTCAATCCAATATAGAACCTACTACCTCCTGGGAAAGCCATGCCCCAGCCTGCTCCTGCAGGAATTAATTCCTCTGTTCAATTCCTTAAACCCAGGTTCTCATGGGTTTAAGACCAGCCTGAGCCAGAGTGAGACCTCATCTCTAAAATTAGATGGGCATTATGACAGGTACCTGTAGTCCCGGCTACTTGGGAGGCTGAGGCAAGAGAATAACTTAAGCCCAAGAGTTTGCTGTGAGCTGTGATGCCATAGCACTCTACCAAGGGCAAAAGAGTAAGACTCTGTCTCAAAAAAAGGAAAAAGATTTAGATTTTACATCTTTCATATTAACCTGGATGAAGGTGGAACACATTCTTCTTGGTAAAGCATCACAAGAATGGAGAAGTAAGAATCCAATGTACACAATTCTAATATAAAGGCAGTAGATGATCTAATACAAGTTAGGGATTGGGAAACGAGGGATGGGGAGAGGGAAGGAGGGAGGGGGATAGGGGGTTACTTACAGTGAGAGCTGTGAGGTGGCAGGACCCCGGCAGCTTGGGAGAGCGTCTGGGGACAAATCCCCCTCTACTGACCCTCCTCAACAGACAACAACACATTTCCTCTAAGCTTCAACTTTTAACCCAGCAGAAGAAAAACATGTTTACTGTTTTCTTCTTTTTTTAGAAAGACAGAGTCTCACTTTGTCACCCTCAGTAGAGTGCTGTTGTGTCACAGCTCACAGCAATCTCCAACTCTTGGGCTCAGGCAAGCCTCCCAAGTAGCTGAGACTACAGGCAGCCACCACAACATCCAGCCACTTTTTTGTTGCAGTTTGGCTGGGGCCGGCTTCAAACCCACCACCCTCAGTATATGGGGCCGGTACCCTACTCACTGAGCCAGAGGTGCCCCCACAAACATCTTTTCCTTAAAACTTCAGCTTTTAACTTACAGCTGCACTTCAAAGCAGTCATGTACATTTTCCAGCTAATCTTGTAGATATGTAGTATTGCTCATATTTTAGAGGTCAACAGTAATAATAGATTGTGTTCACTTGGAAATCTGTGCCTATTTCTCTTCTCATTATTAAATTGAAAATGTGTCTTACTTCCTTGAAAAACAACTTTGTACTGCCTCCTTAAAAATAAAGCTGTTCAGGCACTCGGGTGCTGGTAATAGAGAAAAATATCCCAGACCTCTCAATCCCTTCTTTGTCTCTCAATCCCATCTCTGTCTCTCATGTCTTCCTTTGTCTTTTGCGTTTTATTTTGCTGTTTCCCACCAATCCCACTCTGGGGTTAGTTTACTTTTCCTTCTGGTTCTCTAAAGGTTATAGTGCAGGACACAATTACAAGAGGGACTTTACCTAACAACCACAATCAGTGTAACCTAATTCTTCGTACCCTCAATGAATCCCAAACAATAAAAAAAGGAAAAAAATAAAGCGCTCAAACAATTAAAAAAATAAAGAAGATCCACAGATCCTGAAGAGTGTCTTCAGGCTCAGCACCCATAGTACACTGGTTAGAGCGCCAGCCACATACACCATGGCGAGCGGACTCAAACCCAGCCTGAGCCTGTTAAACAACAATGACAACTACAACCAAAAATAGCCAGGTGTTGTGGCAGGCACCTGTAGTCCCAGCTGCTTGGGAGGCTGAAGCAAGAGAATCGCTTAAACCCAAGAGTTTGAGGTTGCTGTGAGTTGTGACGCCACGGCATTCTACCGAGAGCAACATAGTGACACTGTCACTCTGTCTCAAAAAAAAGTGTCTTCAGGGATGGTGGCCAATCTTATGACCAATGAGTCTATGAAACCCAAAGGCGCCTGGGTGGGAACATCTCCCATCCATGTCCCTACAGCAATTGACACTACTATGAGGAATCCCTGGACACACCAGAGGTTTCTCTTGTGAACCAAATTGGGAACCACAAGCTGCTTACCTTGATCTCCCTCAGAGATCTTGATCTTGTTCTAAGGACTTATCACATTCTTTTTTTCTTCTCTGGGAATGGTATCTAGACCTTCGATTTTGAAACCAAGTCTAAGTAGATAAAACAGAGATACAATTAAAACAAAGAATGTCATAGGAAAAAAATCACTACTGCTTGTTTTCATAAAGTGAAGGAGAGAAATAGCTATCTTTGCTGGCCTAATCCCCAATATAATTATTTTTAATATTTATTTATTTATTTATTGAGACCCCTAGGCT